TAAATGGCCTTGGGGAACCGCAGCACCATCACTGAATTCTTCCTCCTCGGGCTGTCTGTCAACCCCCACATCCAGGCTCTGTTTTTTGTGCTGTTCCTGAATATTTACCTTCTGACCATCATGGGGAACCTGCTGCTGCTGCTGGTGATCAGGGCTGACTCTCACCTCCACACACCCATGTACTTTTTCCTCAGTCATCTCTCTTTCCTGGACTTTTGTTTATCTTCAGCTACTGTGCCCAGGATGTTGAAAGACCTCCTATCGGAGATAAAAACTATCTCAGTAAGGGGCTGCCTGGCTCAAGGTTTCTTTGTGTTTATCACCGCAGGGACTGAAGCTTTTCTGCTCTCAGTGATGGCCTATGACCGCTATGCTGCCATCTGCCACCCTCTGCTCTATGGACAGATGATGAGAAAACAGCTGTGTGTGCAACTTGTATTGGGCTCATGGGGCTTGAGTTTTTTGAATGCACTTATTAACATCCTCCTTGCTGCCAACTTGGACTTCTGTGAGAGCCATACCATCAACCACTACAGCTGTGAGGTGCCCTCTCTCTTTCCTCTGTCCTGCTCTGATGTTTCTACCAACCTCCTAGTACTGCTCTGCTCCACCCTGCTTCATGGACTTGGGACCTTCTTCCCAATCATCTCATCCTATGGCTGCATTGTCTCCACCATCCTGCACATCAGCTCCACCTCAGGCAGAAGCAAGGCCTTCTCCACCTGCTCCTCCCACCTCATAGCAGTGATCTTCTTTTATGGATCAGGTTTTCTCCGCTATCTCGTGCCAACCTCAGGATCCCCCCTTGAGTTGATCTTCTCTGTGCAGTATGGTATGATCACCCCCATGCTGAATCCTCTCATCTATAGCCTGAAGAACAAGGAGGTGAAGGCAGCTGTGAGAAGGACACTGGGAACGTATTTGCCATGTTCCAGGTGAAAAAGAAAAGCTAGTAGATAATAAAAAAATCAGAATAATATACCAGCCATACATTGTGAGTTGACTTTAATAAAAACTTTCTAGGTCTATACTATGTCAGATGTCATGAGATAAGTAAGCAGTGCATAAGAAACGAAAACAAATGGGGCGCCTGGGTGGCGCAGTCGGTTAAGCGTCCGACTTCAGCCAGGTCACGATCTCGCGGTCCGTGAGTTCGAGCCCCGCGTCGGGCTCTGGGCTGATGGCTCGGAGCCTGGAGCCTGTTTCCGATTTTGTGTCTGTGTCTCCCTCTCTCTCTGCCCCTCCCCCGTTCATGCTCTGTCTCTCTCTGTCCCAAAAATAATAAAAATAAACGTTAAAAAAAAAAAAGAAATGAAAACAAAAATATTACAAAGGTATTAACTTTAGTCTAAATAGAAGGAAACAATGGATTAAATAACTATCTCAATTCAGAAAATGAGGTCATGAAAGTGTTGATTCATTCTTCTCAGTACTCCTCAAATATTTACTTTGATCTTATTAGTAAAATATATGTGTCTTTAATCATAATTAGTAACTGGGTTTAAGAAAAGTCAATGAAAGGCATACTTTACTCTTAAGTGAAGGTTCTGGATGGTTGAGTAAAACCAGAAGTAGACTTCAACTATGTGGCAGGAGAATAATGAAGTTCAACTGAGTGGCCCTTGGAGAGGAACTAAAGATTCTGAAGAAAGTAAGTTCATATACTGGGGCAGAGGACAGACTCAAATAAACCCTCAAAATCCCTATTGTTTCTTGCTATAATCTTTCCATAGAAGCCTTTTTTTTTAATTTTTTTTTTAACGTTTATTTATTTTTGAGACAGAGAGAGACAGAGCATGAACAGGGGAGGGGCAGAGAGAGAGGGAGACACAGAATCTGAAACGGGCTCCAGGCTCTGAGCTGTCAGCACAGAGCCTGACGCGGGGCTCGAACTCACAGGGCCGTGAGATCATGACCTGAGCCGAAGTCGGCCGCTTAGCCGACTGAGCCACCCAGGCGCCCCATAGAAGCCTTAAATATGCATATTCTTATATGTATAATTTCTGAGATACATGTGTGAATAAATGTTCTGATCATAACAATAATTAAAAACAAAATACTTAAAAACAAATATAGATTAACAAAAAAAGGAAACATTCTTTTAAAAAAGGTGTTCTTGATTATTCCATATATCCTTGAATTGTGTTTTCTTTGCTCATTTATTTGATAAGTAACAGTGGGGGGAGGGGGGAATATTATGCTAGAACAGTCTAGTTTGACTGAAAACCTAATAGTTTATTGTAAATAAATAAATGGAAATTTTGATTTGTGTAACAGACTATTCATACTAAAGACTATAATTAACTTTTACACAAATGCTTCCCTAAATACTCCCAAATGGGAGTATTCAAACTGTAGCAGGGCCCTGTATAGGATTCTAAATGCATTCTAAAGCAAATGGATTTGGATGGAGTTTAGGCAAACAACTGTGCATGTGAACTTTTTTAGTCTTTTTACCTTTTGATCAACAAATCACTTTTACACACCAAATTTGACTGGACTTGAATTTGCCTAAGAAGTCCCAAGAGACTGACCTGAGAAGACCTGAGAGTGTCATTTGAAAACTACTCTTTTCCTGCTTGAGGAGCCAGGCAAATACCCCTCTGGCTACTCTTTCTACTTTCGACTCCCACTAGACTCAGAAGAATTTAGAATTAATGATTAAAGGTCATTGCATCACCTAGATGTTCCAAAGGCCACACCTAAGAGATCCCCACTCATCCTTATAAAATCAGTGTCGACAAAAGCCTTTTACTACTAAATGTGACTTCAGGTTATGACCATAGAATTCTAAACGCTGTCGCCCTGGTGAGGAATCAAAACCAACCAGTTGTCTACACATTGCTGCTCTGTGAACTCATTAAACCCAAACAATGCTTTGTGTAACTGAGACATGATGTTAGAAACAAGAAAAACTAAGAGTATGTGAGATTCTTTGAAAGAAGGAACTTCCCTTGGCTATATAAATTTATTGTTAGAATTCAGTAAAGCATTTCATCATCAATAGGATTTTATAAATTTTATCATGACACCAGACAGAAGCCACTTTCTCCAGGCCATCATCCTTCTCACTAAATGAATCTAAATAAAAGTCCTGCAGCCAAGTTGAAGAGCAAATTACCTTATCGAACAGGATATACAGGTAATGTGTGTTTGGGGTATGAGAAGGATTTTGAGGCTGGGTTTCTGGCTAAGGAGTTAACAAGTAAGGAATCAGAACTTTCCCTTGACTGAGCTCTGGATTTACTGGGAATGGTCAGGATAAGGAACTGGCTGGGCCACCCCCTACTAAATCCTATGGGTAACCCAAGGTCAGACTTCAGGGTAGAAGGTCAAAGCCAGAAGTCATTGGTAAATACTGATATTTATGCAAATAGAGAATTGTTGTAATTCAGACATAAAGCCTTCGAGAAACACAGCAAGGGACATGAGCACATCTGGCCATGAAGGAGAAATTCGGAGTATGAAGAGTGAGGACAATGTCTCAGGATGAAAGTCACAACAGACGAATATAACGGATTTGATGTTCTACTCCTGTTTTAAAACAGGCCCCTGAGTATGAACCGAGAAAAGTTAGTGGGTGGAGCCTTCCTTCTGCAGGCAGAGAGTAGCAACAGTGGGTGTTTCCAACAGAAGCTAGTCCTACAGAACGCATCCCCCATTTTTTTTCCTGTACTTCCTGGGAGAGAAGTCCAGAATGCATAGCACTGGGCAGAGTCCTCTCACCCAGCTGCTGCTCTGGCCAGGATACCCATTCAAGTATTCCCTGGCATGAAACCCTTTCAAGCTTTCCTCTCTTAATTTTCTCGAGATCCAGCCTGTTTTGGGATACACACCCATCCTAGTAATGCTCGTAAGGTGGGCCCTGAGGTCTACACAGAATCCCAAACACTTGATCTCCCCCTTGTCATCATCTCTGCAGTCCTGCAGCTATGCCTATTGGCAATTACATGCCCTCCTTTCTGAGTGAAGGCACCGCAGAAATTGCCAAGTGGAGACAGGCTCAACACCAAAATAATTCTAAACTTCTAACTTGCCTTCCAGTGGAGGTGATGAGCAGAGGAGGGAAGCTGCTGGTAATGGTTTCAATGTGATTTCTTGCACTTCTCTTGATAAAGGCATGTAAAGTAGTAACGATGACATCAGCAGCAACAACTTTGGTCTTTGATAGTGCTTTACCAATGTAAGTATATAGGTGACTTTTGCCTAGACTTAAAATCCCAAATAATGGGAAGAAGAAGGAGGAGGAGGAGAAGTAGAAGCAGCAGCAGCAGCACAGAATAGATGCTTTTGAAGAGCTTTGTATATAATTTCATATTTAATGGAATTAAATTATTATTTTCATATAATTTCATATCCTAAAAACCCTCTGTGGTACTGTTATTATCTTCTCTTAATATGCAAGGATATTGAAGTAAGAGCGTTATGTATCTTGTACATAAAATCATAGCTAATTAGTGGTGGACCTGGGATTCGATCTTAGTTTAATGCAGGAGCCCACATGTTTAGCCACTGCTCTGTGATGCTCACTTATTCCCTGGGCATCAACTTTTCAGCACTACCCATGTTTTAACTACCCATAAACTGAGCTGATTTTTCAGTCTTGAGCCTTTGACTGTATTTTTTAGGCAAACTAAATATATGTGAGAAACACACTAATCATACACTTTCTTAAAAGTGTTGTCAAATTCGCTCAGAGAACTATCATTATTGACCCTCACTAAATCAGTTTGAGCTCCCATTTCATGAATTGTAGCATTCATTGTTTTCATGTCCATGTTCTTCCATGGAGAATACTAAGAACAAGGACCATACCTTAATCATCTTTTTGTTCTAAGTGGCTGCACGAAACCCAGGTTATAATAGAAAACAAAACTGTTTGTTCACTGGGCAATAGTGATACGAAAAGAGAACCAATGCAATTAGAAAATTCCTTGGGGGATAATAGACCTTTGGCTCCTGTGGTGTTTTGTATTATTTCTAGGGAAAGGCCTTTGTAAATGGACTTGGGGAACTACAGCACCATCACGGAGTTTATCCTCCTCGGGCTCTCTGCCAATCCCCACGTCCAGGCTGCACTCTTTGTGCTCTTCCTGGGGATTTACCTGCTGACCATCATGGAGAACCTGATGCTGCTGCTGGTGATCAGGATTGATTTTCACCTGCACACACCCATGTACTTCTTCCTGAGTCACCTCTCTTTTGTCGATATCTGCTTCTCTTCGGTCACTGTGCCCAAGATGCTGGAGAACCTTCTGTCTCGAAAGAAAACAATATCAGTAGAGGGCTGCCTTGCTCAAGTCTTCTTTGTGTTTGTTGCTGCAGGAACTGAAGCCTGTCTGCTTTCTGCAATGGCCTATGACCGCTATGCTGCCATCTGCCACCCTCTGCTGTATGGACAGATCATGAGTAAACAGCTGTATATGCAGCTTGTGTGGGGCTCGTGGGGACTGGGCTTTCTGGATGCACTCATCAACATCTTCCTAGCTGTGAAGATGGTCTTCTGCAAGGCCCAAATCATCCCCCACTACAGCTGTGAAATGCCCTCTCTCCTCTCACTGTCCTGTTCCAATATCTCCAGCAACCTCATTGCCTTGCTCTGCTCCACTCTTCTACATGGACTCGGAACCTTCCTTTTGGTCTTCTTATCCTACACCCGTATAATTGCCACCATCCTGAGCATCAGCTCCACCTTAGGCAGAAGTAAGGCCTTTTCCACCTGCTCCTCCCACCTCATTGCAGTGACCCTTTACTATGGCTCAGGTTTGCTCCGCCATCTAATGCCAAATTCAGGTGCGCCCCTTGAGCTGATCTTTTCTGTGCAGTATACTGTAGTCACTCCCATGCTGAATCCTCTCATCTATAGCCTGAAGAACAAGGAGGTGAAGGCAGCTCTGGCAAGAACTTTGGAAAAGTATTTGCAACATATCAGGTGCTGAAATGAAAACAGAGCATGGTGGAGAACTGGAACATATCTGCATACAAAAGGATATTAAGTGAGTTTACAATAGTAAGCTGTACTCCTAACTACTTACAATGTCAGATGCCGCACCCTAAATTAGAAGTGCATGTGACAATGACACAAAGTAATTATAGGAAGGATGGTTCAATTTCTTTTCAAGGCAAACAAATTATTAAATAATAAGAAAGTTTTGTGATGAACATATTGGTTCATTTTTCTCATTCTAAAACATTTCACCTTAGGCTTTCATTTGGAAAAGTCATTAGTTTCATTGATCTGTCATTATTTTTTTTTTAATGTTTATTTATTTTTTGAGACAGAGAGAGACAGAGCATGAATGGGGGAGGGGCAGAGAGAGAGGGAGACACAGAATCGGAAACAGGCTCCAGGCTCCGAGCCATCAGCCCAGAGCCTGACGCGGGACTCGAACTCACGAACCGTGAGATCATGACCTGAGCTGAAGTTGGACGCTCAACTGACTGAGCCACCCAGGCGCCCCATCTGTCATTATTTTTTATTGAGTTTTGGGATACACATCTGAGAAGAATGTAGGGCCCTGGATCTATAAAAGAGAAAAGTCATAGATAAGGGTAAACGGTGAGAAAGATAGAGACTTCCAACTGGGTGACCACAGGAGACACACATGAAAAGCTGAAAGTTCTGCAGAGAAACAATAATCATATTGAGGCAGAGTTCAGACTCTTAAAATTTCCAAGAACTTTTATGTATGTGTGGAGTGATGGACAGATCTCCAGTGAGAGAGGCTGCAAGGAGGCTCTATGTCTCTAGGAACCTCACTTCTCACCTAGCCTTCACTCAGACTTGTATTTTCTATAATAAGCTGACCTTATCTGTGTTCTTTTGCTTGTAGAGTACAGGCTATGAGCTTTAGACAAATAATCTGGTTTTGATCTCATCACAAGTGAATTCTGAAATTGTCCTTGCCTCTCATCTTTCGGCTGTCAAACAATTGGTTACTGTTTAGGGACCAGTGGTTTGCTGGATTTAAGGTACTGCATCACCTCCAACTAATTCATTTTTATCTATAAAATATAAACCCAGGGGCGCCTGTGTGGCTCAGTCAGTTAAGCGTCCAACTCTTGATTTCAGCTCAGGTCATGATGTCACAATTGTGAGATTGAGCCCCACCTCAGGCTCTCTTGTTGGACGTGGAGCCTGCCTAAGAATATCTCTCTCCCGCTCTCTCTCTCTCTGCCCCTCCCTAACTTGCACATACACGTGTGTGTGTGTGTGCTCTCTAAATAAATAAATAAGTAAATAAATAAATAAACAAACAAACCCATTCTCACATTGCTTCTCATTTGTTTAAAATTTTTTTAGGGTTTACTTATTTTTGAGAGAGAGAGAGACAGTGCAAGTGGGGGAAGGGGCAGGGAGAGGGAGACACAGGATCTGAAGCAGGCTTCAGGCTCTGAGCTGTCAGCACAGAGTCCAACATGGGGCTCAAGCTCACGAACCGCGAAATCATGACCTGAACTAAAGTCAAGAGTCTGACTCTGAACCGACTGAGCTACCCCGGCACCCCTGCTTCTGATTTGTTTAATCTATATTTTACTATTCTCTAATTCATTGTAGTTGAGAAAAAAGGGGAAAAGTAAATACAAACTATTGAATTCACTTAATATTAGCTTACATTTTTCTCAAGCTACTTTCATAAACTCACTTTGTCCCAGTTGTCAGTTATACAGGCTTTTCATCCTCATCTAGCCATTGATAACTCACAGTAAGGGCCTCTTCTCATCTGATACTCCAGAAAACTCCAAATACATTATCTCGCTCCACAAACAACAGAATATTCAAGGCCTTCTTTGGATTCTCTGACCTAAGGTGAAGCATCAGTGAACCCTCCAAGGTCAAGCTTTCTATGGTGAAAGGAAGTTTACGGCACTGCACCTGAGAAGAAGGCTGGTTATAGTCAGTGCGCAAACGTCACAGAATGATAGTAATTGTCACGGAAAGATACCAAGAGACTCAGTCAAATTCCCTTTAGAATAAATGAAAGACATGAAATCATAACTGCGTGAAGACATCCCTTCAAATCTAAAGGCTCAGCAGTTGCTCCTTTGGAGGGGCAATGACCTTGAACTTTGATGCCCAGAGTGCTACACCATTGCTTACTATACTGCCTGATCAGCGACAGGATCCTCTCTAGGCCTCAGAGAAGCTCTTCTTACCATTCCCTCAAGGATTTTTGTATTTCCGGCCTGCAGAAATTCGGGAGATTCTGCCTGTGTTTTGGCCTTCCCAAGAGGCATAAATAACTAGTAATGATCCTATTATACACCTGAGTGCTTAGTGTTAAAAGGTTGAATTTATGGGAAAATTTTCAGTATTAATTTCCCAGGAACACCATTTCCTAAGCATGCCTGAAGTTTCTTCCTCTAAGACAGGTGACAAAAAAGGCAGCAAATATGCCAGAGAGGGAGGGAGCCTTGCAGTGTGACAGTTCATGAGGAGTTTGTCAATTTTACCCTGATTTCATCATGTTCTTTGCTTTTTCTTAACACCTTTGCAATCTATTCTATTACTTTTATCACTTTATCTTTATAAAAAATATCACACTTACTAAAAAATGTATAAAACATATATGTACCAGTTAAAGAATGATTATGAAATGAATACACACATACCCACTACTCAGCTTAAGAAATTATTCATTCTAGGGGCTCCTAGGTGGCTCAGTTGATTGAGCGTCCAACTCTTGATTTAGGCTCAGGTCGAGATCTCATGGTTGTTAGATGGAGCCCTGCATCAGGCTCCATGCTGGAAGTGGAGCCTGCTTAAGATTCCCTCTCTCTTTCTCCATCCCTCCCCAGCACTTGTGTGTGTGTGTGTGTGTGTGTGCTCTCTCTCTCTCAAAAACTACAATTTTTTAAAGAAATTATTCATTTTACTACCTCTCCTTCACTCCCCAAAACTGACTACTCCTCTGAATTTTTTAATCATTTCCTTTGGTTTTCTTTATATAATTTACTTTTGCCTGTTTCTGAACTTTATATAAATAGAATTAGGATATATGTATTGTTGTGACTTGCTTCTTTTCATCCATAGGAAGTTATCACCAGAGCCCTGGTTTGGGGACTCCGCTGTGATGTGTCTAAAATTGCTAACATATGCTGCTGCTTACCTCAGTAAGGGATTCTATGCCCTTTGGCCTAAGATGGGAGTTTTCAGATTTGGTCCCTAGCTAATACTTTTCTCAGGTTATGGGTTTAGAGACCAAATGAACCTTCTGACAAGGTATACACTGGAATGTAGAACTGAAATGATGACATAGGTAATTCGGCAATAAATTTCAATTAACTAGAAAAATTCACTCCCTATTTTATTCTGATATTGCAGCAGAATCAGCAACTCTAGAGACAGAAAGCAGATTGGTAGGTGCCTGAGAATGTAAAGGAGGGAAGAATGGAGAGTTACTTCTTAATGTGTATGGGGTTTTCTTTTGAGCTGATGATCAACACTTCCATACATCACCCTCCACCCGTGCCCCCTTCCACATCACCCTCCACCCATGCCCCCTTCCACCTCCCTTCTGGTAACCATCAGTTTGTTCTCTATAGTTAAGATCTGTTTCTTGGTTTGCCTCTCTCTCTTTTTTTTTTTTTTATTTTTTTTTTTTTTTTGTCTCTTTGCTCATTTATCTCTTAAATTCCATATATGAGTAAAATCATATGGTATGTGTCTTCCTCTGGCTGACTTATTTCTCTTAACATTATACTCTCTAGCTCCATCCATATCATTGCAAATGGCAAGATTTCATTCTTTCGTATGGGTAATATCCATTGTATATGTTTATCACATCTTCTTTACCCATTCATCATGTGATGGACATTTGGGCTCTTTCCATAATTTGGCTATTGTAGATAATGCTGCTGTAAACATCTGGGGAGTATGTACCCCTTTGAATTAGTATTTTTATTATCTTTTTTTAAAAAAATATCTATTGCACCTAGGTGGCTCAGTCCGTTGAGCTTCCGACTTCGGCTCAGGTCATGATATCATAGTTCGTGGGTTCAAGCCCCACGTCAGGCTCTGTGCTGACAGCTCAGAGCCCGGAGCCTGCTTCAGATTCTGTGTCTCCCTCTCTCTCTCTGCCCCTCCCCTGCTCATGCTCTGTTTCTCTCTCTCTCTCTCTCTCTCTCTCTCCTCTCTTTCAAAAATAAATAAACATTAAAAAAATTAATAAATAAAATAAAAATATTTATTTACTTTTGAGAAAGAGCATGAGCAGGAGAGGAGCGGAGAGAGAAAAGGACAGAGGATCCAACATGGGCTCCACACTGACAGCAGCAGCCTGATGTGGGACTCAAACTCACGAAACACGAGATCATGACCTAAGCCAAGCTGAATACTCAACATACTGAGACACTCAGGCACCTCAGTAGTTTTATATTCTTTGGGCAAATACCTAGTAGTTTAATTGCTGGGTCATAGAGTATTTCTATTTTTAAAGTTTTGAGGAAACTCCATACTGTTTCCAGAGTGGCTACACCAGTTTGCATTCCAACCAACAGCATAGGAGGGTCCCCCTTTCTCCACATCCTCGCTAACACCTGATACTTCTTGTGTTGCTGATTTTGGCCATTCTGACAGGTATGAGGTAATATTGTGATTTTGACTCATATTTCCCAGATGTTTTGTATTTCCCTGATGATCAGTGATGTTGCGTATCTTTTCATGCGCCTGTTGGCCATCTATATGTCTTTGAAAAATGTCTATTTGTGTATTCTGCCCATTTTTAACTGGATTATTCATTTTTGAGGTGTTGAGTTTGATAAATTCTTTATAGATTTTGGATACTCATCCTTTATCAGGTATGCTGTTTGCAATTATCTTCTCCCATTCCAAAGGTTGACTTTTAGTTTCATTGATTGCTTCCTTCACTGCGCAATAGCTTTTTATCTCCAAACCAATCAGTGTGATACACCACATTAATAAAAGAAAAGAACCATA